ACACACAGACACACAGACACAGCCTGTGCACACATGCACACACACACACACAGACACACAGACACACACACACAGCCTGTGCACACATGCACACACACACACACAGACACACAGACACAGCCTGTGCACACACAGACACACAGACACACACAGACACAGCCTGTGCACACACAGACACACACAGACACAGACACAGACACACACAGCCTGTGCTCACACACACACACATACACACACACACACACACACACAGCCTGTGCTCACACACACACACATACACACACACACACACATACACAGCCTGTGCTCACACACACACATGCACACACACACACACAGACACATAGACACACACACACGTGTGCACAGGCCCAGGGTGCACACGCCGTGCTGGGGTGCACACGCTCACACACGCGTGTTGGTGCGTGTGGGAGCCCCGGGTGTGGCAGAGCCGTGCAGGAGGGGAGCACCCCGTGTGTGCCCGGGTGTGAGTGCTCGTGCCAGCCGGGTGTGCCGGCCCTGTGCCAGCCCTGCTCCCCTCAGGGTGTCCCTGGTCCCCACGGCTGCGCTCCGGGCTGTCAGCAGGGATGGACCCTGATGTCCCCATGACACCACACACAGCTTTCAAATCAACCTGCCAGACACAGAGCCAGCACAGCCACCAACCCCGGGGTGTGCCCTCTGCCACCATCCCCGGGGTGTGCCCTCTGCCACCATCCCCAGGGTGTTCCTGTCACCAGCACGTGGCCTCTCTCACCCACTGGTGTCTGCCCACAGGGTCCTTCTGGACCCCCCAGATCAAGGGTGCCTGGACTCCCAGGGCCCCCATCACTGCCACAGCCACGGCCCTGAGGGGCAGCAGGGCCACCAGCCCAGCCCAAGGGGTGCCAGGACTCGGGGGACACAGAAGGCATTCGTGCTGCTGTCACATGTCCCCACACAGGGGTCTCCACGGGGGTCCCATGCCGTGTCCCCTGGCTGTACCCCAGCACCAGCAAACCAGTGACCCCCACTCCCACCAGCAGCCATGTGGGGCCAGACTCTATTTCCCCTGTTTCCCCCCCCATTTTTCCCCTTCCTGGCTGCAGGGGGGCACACTGTGGGGTTCTGGGGTGCTGCAGGCAGCCCCCCAACACCCACGGGACACCCCACAACTGTAGCACCAGCTCCCACCTTCCCCCAGCCCATGAGAGCCCTGCAGCCGCTCAGCACCACGGGGGCACAGCCCCCCAGGGGTGCCCCTTCCCCCCCCTGACCCCGCCCCCTGGGATTCCCCCTCCTCCTGTCCCCAACACCTTCGGATGGGGGTTCCTGGCCGGGTGTTCTGCTCGGGGTGAGACCCCCAAGGGCAGCCCCCCGACTCGATCCTGTGCCATCCCCTGCCAGGGCTCCCAAAGTGGCCAGGCTGGGATCACTGGGGTGCTCCAGGCCCCTCACCCTTCTCCTCCAAACCCAGTTCTTGGCCCTAATTGCTCCCTGGGATGCTGAGTGTCCCTCACCCCCGGGTGGGTGCAGGGATGATGTTCCTGCTGCCTCCCCTCCCCGTCGGATTAAGGGGTTTCTTAGTGCTGCTGTTTCCTCCCTGCCAGAGCCCTTATTCCCTCTAACGAGGAGACTCCCAATCTCCTTTAGCACTAAGCCTCTCCCGGGAACTTATTTCCGGCACCCAAATAAATTCCCAGCACTTTCCCTCCCGCTGACCTCGGCCTCAGCCCCCGGCAGAGCTGTCAGGGCCCACAGCACCCAAACCCGGCTTGTCCATGGCACTGACCCTCCCCCTGGGCACATCTGGGAGCCCAGGAGCACATCTGGGCACCCAGGAACACATCTGGGAGCCCAGGAGCACAGTTGGGCACCCAGAACATCTGGGAGCCCAGGAGCACATCTGGGCAGGCTGGCCCCCACCTCTTCGAGCTCTGTGGTGCCCACTAACCCAGCTGGGTGGCAGAGGCAGAGCCCACGTCCAGCAGTGTGATGACACACGGGGTACAGAGTGTGTGTCCCCCCTGGGCATGGGGGGCACCCCGTGTCCCCCCAGTCACCTTGGCTGCCTTTGCCACAGCCACTGCAGAGCCAGTGGCTCCTTGCCTGGCCCTGCTGTGTGCCAGAGCTGCCCGTGGGCACCGGGAGACCACCCAGTGTCCCCTGCAGTGCCCCCCAGACAGTGCCCGGTGGGGCGAGCGTTGGGCTGACACAGGGGGGGGATTTCTGCTCCCTGAGGTGACACCTCACTGGTGTGACTGTGCCTGACTGTGTCTGACTGTGCTGTACCCCCACGGCCAGAGGGTCCCCATGTACAGAGTGGCTCCAAAGGCCCCCAAAGGGGACGTGGTGTCACCTCACCTCCGGCCCTGCCTTGTTACTCAGCAGTTCCAGGACACACGGTGGCCCCGGGCCAGCCCTGCTGTGCTGTGCCAGATGAGGAGACCGTGCTGGATGGCTGCCAGCCACAGCCTGCGCCCCACAGCCTGCACCCCACAACCCAAACCCCACCGTGGCTGTGGGGACCGGGCTGGGCATCCTGCTCTGCCAGGACAGCAGCCACGGGACACACGCTGTGCCAGCCAGGCACCAGTGTCCCCCCCACGGCTCTGCCCCAGCAGGTTCCCACGGGTCTGTGTGCAGGCATCCGGGCACGGCCACGCATCCCTGGGCATGATCACGCATCCCTGGGCATGGCCATGTGTCCCTGGGCACGGCCCTGCATCCCTGGGGCTGCAACAAACACAGCCCTGCCCGCAGAGGAGCGTCTGGACCCCCCCTGCTCAGCCCTGACACCCCGAGCGTGTCCCCTCCCAGAGGGGTCCCTGCTTGTGCTGCAGCCCTGTCACTGCAGCTGGGCCACCGAGGGGCCAGAGGGGCTGTGCTGGAGCAAGACACAGCGGGTCAGGGGGCTGGGGCTCTGTGCCCCCCTGGATCAGGGGGCTGGGGCT